ACTTCCGACTGAGCGAGCACCGCAGGTCTCTGACAATCGCCAAGCAACGTGGCCCTCTTCGCTCGCGGGGACCCGGAGCCCAGCTCCGGCCCGTGGGCGAGGAGCGCCCGGCCGAGAGGTGCCTGCGGGGCTGGGAGAGTGCCGGCGAGCGCAGCGACCTTCCAGCGCAGACGAGGCGCGGCGGCCCGGCCCCGAACTCGAGACACCCGCGTCCCCGGAGCGGCGAGGCGGCCCATCACGGCGCCGCCCGAGGCGGCCCTCGCCCCCCGATCGGATGCCCGGGACGAGAAAACTGGCCCTGTACCTGGCGGAGGTGGAGAGGCAGGACAAGTACCTGCGGCAGAGGAATAAGTACCGGTTCCACATCATCCCCGACGGCAACTGCCTCTACCGAGCGGTCAGCAAGACCATGTACGGGCACCAGAGCCTGCACCCGGAGCTGCGGGAGCAGACGGTGCACTACATCGCCGACCACCTGGACCACTTCAGCCCCCTGATCGAGGGCGACGTGGGGGAGTTCATCATCGCCGCCGCGCAGGACGGGGCCTGGGCCGGGTACCCGGAGCTGCTGGCCATGGGGCAGATGCTGAATGTGAACATCCACTTAACGACTGGCGGGAGGTTGGAGAGTCCCACCGTGTCCACGATGATTCACTACCTGGGCCCGGAGGATGCTCGACGGCCTAGTATTTGGCTCAGTTGGCTCAGTAATGGACATTATGATGCCGTGTTTGACCACTCCTATCCTAACCCGGAGTATGACAGCTGGTGCAGACAGACTCAAGTGCAAAGGAAACGCGACGAAGAACTTGCCAAATCCATGGCCATCTCCCTCTCCAAAATGTATATTGAACAAAATGCATGCTCTTGAAGTGTCTGAAAACCTACACCCTGGGAAAGTGCATTTACATAATTTGTGTTTGGAGAATTATACGAACTCTCATCAGGGTAATAGCACTTTTAAAATTAATAGTAGATGACTGTAGGTGTAATGCCTTAAGCTTTTTTTTAATTTTGAATGTTTTCTCAGAGCTGAAGGTTGCTGGGCACCGAAACGATGCTTCATGATAGCTTTGTATGATCCTACTGCTATTTATAATTTGCTGTATAAAGTCAGCACTACTTAATTTGCAAGCTAATTTCTCACAGTGTATATATTTGTTCATTCCTGGTAATCTATTTTCTATAAAAAGGTATTTTTGCACAACATTTTAAAAAATTGGTGTAACTTCATCTATGACGTGTTCCATTTTGACAGCTTTCCGGCATAAATCCAGACAAAAGTGCTTTATAGGAAGCTTATTTGAATCAAGTTTGTGATTTAGTAGTTGTTTTATGTTGATGAATTTGAATTTTACAATTCTTAGATACTTTTTCAAATGGAGATTGATACATTCATGTTATCAGATAATTGGCCCATTCCATTTTGATGAAACATTTGTTTTTGAAATCATTATTTTTCTAGAAATGGTCAACCTTTTAAAGAGAAATAATATGTAAGGGGAGATTGTGGGAAGATTTTTTTTTTTTTTTTGAGTGCCAGCTCTTAACTTGAATGAAAGTCTGATATTTGCTGATGGCAGAGTGGTTAATTATTCTGGTTAATGTTTAGAGTAGATTGGTGCTCTCATTCGTCTTTATTTATATTTGTTATTTTGTTGTAAAAGAATTTTAACATGGTGTAAAACTTTGTGATAAAGCCTCCTGCTTTATATAGCTTCTTGGATTCAACTGAGATTTGAAAACGAATAGGATGGATTTCTCGAACCAACCTTTGCAGTTATTTTATAGCAGGAAAGGAGACTATTGTCTTAATATTCTAAATATTAAGTCCTTTTAAATTCTTTCAAAAGGAAAAATAGGATTGCCCTGTATTATGTACAAATAAAAATGTCTGTAAACAGAGCTTGTACGGTTTGCTGGGTCAAACAATGTTCCCAACCTAAAATCTATCTCATTTCCACTTAACTACTGTTAGTCATATTTATTAAGTAACGCAGTTTGTACTTTTTTATTTTGTAACATTTTGTGATTTTTTTGTACAATACTGTATTTGTATAATAGAGCAATTCTCAGCTGGGTGGAATGAATAAAATGCATAGTTTTACTTACATGTTTGACTGAAGTGGTTTTTATATAAAGTGGTATCTGTAGGAAACTTTTTTGTATCTACACAGTTTTTTTCATGTGTACTAGTAAAGGTGGCACAGATACGAGAGGTTTTCTTAAATTCTCACATGAACAGGATAGGATAATCAGTAATTTCAAAGAATAAGTCTAACATAATTTAAAGGTACAGTAACAAAAAAATTTCTCTCATTATTTCTAATTATAATTCCTGTCTAAAACTTCAGGTGTACCTATTGAGTAATGAACAGGGAAGTGCAAGTATTGTTAACCAGCACAATGTTTAATTATGGTTTTGTGTTCCATTCACTCTTAGCATAGGTTTTAATGTTTTAAAGCGTAGCTACAGCAGTGCCCTAATCTATTTTGTCTGGGCTTTTGAGACCATGGGAATCTACAAATTTTAATATACGTTATCAGATTTAGTTGAGAAGTGCACCTGTATACATAATCCTGGGTATGTTATTGCAGAATAAAAACAGCTTGTGATGTTTTTACTTTTCAGTTGATTGTTTAGGTGTCATGGTTACAGTCACAATTGAATAGACTTTGAGTTCATTGCTTAACCACATTTTTGGAATGATGCCATTGATCATCAAGGAAAGATAAGTTGTCAAAGGTTTAAATGTTAACTATTCATGCATTTTTGGTTTTTTAGGGAAGATAAAGTTTACTTCATGGCTTCCCTAATTATGTAACTTGATAAGAAAGAAATTATATGAATCACCTGGCTAATTATGGTTCTTACACTTTTCTCCACTTTATTTAGAGCTGTATAAAATTTGGGGATACTTAAAATAAACCCACAAAAAGCCAGAGAATAATTAAGTAGAATTTCCTAAAGAGCATTAATATTTTAAATAGGTTCTTTTGTGTTCTTTTTCATTTTAAAATTAGGATCCTAAGTCCTTGATTTAAATTCTCAAGGTGATGTTTTTAAATAAAATTAAATGAGTCCTAAGATTGTATTGTATGGCAGCATGTTTATTAGTTGTCTTTCCTAAATGGTCTTTCCCATCCTTTTTCTATGGCTTAGATTTTTTGAAGAAGAAATGTAGTATGGGCCTGGCCTGGCCGGTGTGGCCCCGTGGTTCACGGACCAGTGAACCGGGAGGTGGTGGTTTGATTCCAAGTAGGGGCTGAGTTCCTGGTGGGGCGGGGAGGAGGGCATGCTGGAAGCAGATGATCCATGATTCTCTCTCATCATTGATGTTTTTGTCTCTCCATCTCTTACTCTCTGAAATCACAATTAAATTTAAAAAAAGGAATGTATGCTTTATTCCCTTATACTTAATATTCTCTATTGCTATACTGGTTTTACATGTTTAGCAGTAGCAGTCTTGGATCCCTGAAGACTTGAGCAGTCAAAGAAGTGGAAATGTGAGCTATTACTTTAAGCAAACAGATTTATTCCTTCATTTACTCTGTTTGCTAAAAGTAAATAGCTCACATTTAAAAACTAAATTGGCATAGTACTTCCAACATTTGGGCAAAAACCTAATTTCTTGAATCTTGTTCATTTTCCGCTCAAATTTTTTTTCTAAGATAAAATTACTCATTTTAGTCATATTTAATTGAGCAGTAAACCACTAATTGATAAGTGGACATATATGTGTGATACTTTATATTTTATGTACTTATAATTCATATGCTTGGTCTAGGCACAAAACAAAACCTTTTATCAGAGGCCACATTTTATAGAGGAGAGGAAATGCCTTAAGATCCCTTGAACATCAGAATTAGCCTCAACTTGGTTAAATATTTTTGTTGCAATGTTTTCTTCATAATTTTTGTACTGGAAAAAAGAAAAGATCCTGAAATAATCCTGAGGAAACAGAAGAAAGCTAGGTAGACAGGGACAGGGACCATGGCGGGGAGGGGAACGAAGTAAAACCAGGAACCCAACTAGGTGGAGTTACTAAGATACCCCAACTGGGTGAGGATGGAAGGGCACACCTGGGAGACATGAGCTTTAAAATGTATGAATGTTGCTAACACAGGCAGCTTGCAGATAACCAGTCACAGATAGTAAGGCGTATAAACTAATCCCAAGGATGTTGCTAATGTGAAATTCTTTGAAAGGACCAATGAGGAACTAACAAGCATATAGCAAAGCATACAACAATGCTTGGGCGCTTCTCTCTCCCAGAGTGCTAGATTCTTGGGTCAATGGCAGGAGATACACTCCCCCTCGCTCATGTGGCTTATGGCCTTGTGGGCCTCCACATATGGACTAATAGACTTTAATTAGCTTGGATGCTGAACTCCCGACTGTAACATGGAAAGGAAGCTCTGGACACTGGCCTGTTTCTGGAACCTCAGATGCCCCTTTTCCAGGACTGGCTTCTCTCAATACACTTTGGTTCTGCTAACAGTTTTTGTCCACAACGTCCTTCTTTGATTTCACAAGACAACGAACTGGGACTCAATACCCCACATTTCAGTTTCAATCCCACTACTTTAGTAATTTTATTTTATATATTTTTCCTAAAAAATGAGAAAAGTAAACTCTAAAATTCTATCATGGTTTTCATATGGAGGAAAAGCATTAGAGAAGAAATATTTCAAATCTTTGGGCATGATAATTTGATAGGTTGAATATATGTATATTCAAGAGTATATGTACTTCAAATGTGTAATGTTCACATTTAATAGGCAGTTATTTGTCAAAATTTTTTGGGACATCTCTAGTATGTCTATAACTATCTCAGTGGCTTCATTAATCTGTTGGTGGGAACAGTATACTTGGGAACATCTATATATATAAAAGGCTAATATGCTAACTGTTCCTCTGACCGTCCGACTGGTCGCTATGACGTGCACTGACCACCAGGGGGCAGATACTCAATGCAGGAGCTGCTGTGATGCACACTGACCATTTACAAAGAAACGGCACCGCAGACCTGGCACCCACAAAGCAACACTCGGCTTCCCCAAGTGGGACATGGGCCCCACCGCCACCCTGGAGCGACACCCCACCAAATCGCAGCCAATGCTGCCAAGACCCCATAGACACAAATGCAGCCCACAGCCCAGACCAGCCCAGAAATGGTGGCTGTAGGCGCCAGGTAATGACGTCACATAGCAATGCCCATCTTCCTCTCCCTAG